CGTACATGCCGTACAGAAATTTTTAATGTACATTGTGACCTGCAAGCAGGAGTATTTGGACTGTGTTGTACCACCAACATGTTGGTTTGAGATGTTTCTTATTCACCGGGATGAGCGCTTTTAATACTTAAAATCTACATTTTTTTAAATATAATACCGTGTCTGTAATCTTTTATATGTGTGCTTGTGCCTTTCTGTAATACTGTGTTTTCTATTATTCATATACTTCAATATAATCACTTACAAACCTGTTCAATATTTTTATATATTCGTCAGACTAATCAGTAGATTTTTGCACTCCCTCAGTTTAGTTAGTAATAAAGAGAGCACCCCTTTCAGTACAAGTGATTCCACCCCGGTCCTGTCACTGTGAACTGTCCGTTAGTTTGTGGAATAATGTGGTATCATTTGGTAAACGTAGACAACTTCATCTACTACTGATGTCTCTGCGGAAGCTGAGCAAACTAATAGATTTGGTCTGTTCGGCCAACTGCAGATACAAAATGTAACTGTTTGTAACACATATTTCTATCAACGAGACTTCTTCCACCATTTTCTGGACTTTCTACTGAAATCCTAGTCGTGTATTGGCAGCAAATGTCTGCTCCAGTTCTCGGTTCACTGAACAGCTGAACTACAACAATAAATAATATATATACAGAGTGTCCCAAAAGTAGGTGGTGGCCCAAAAGTAGGTATACAGTTATTAAACTATTTTATATGCTTTGAAGCTACTTGCAGTTCACTTTATGTTACCTTTTGAGTACCACAAAAATTGCTTATTTTTTCAGATAATAAATCTAGGGTGAATTTTACATTAGTTTTCTAGCTGCTTGGAAAGTAATAAAAAATAAATAACATAACTGTATACCTACTTTTGGGCGACATGAGAGAGACGTTGTTAAATAGTGTTTTCTACAACATAAAACTGTAAAAGGTACCGGTACCAGTTGTCGAGCAAATATAGTCCATGTAATATATCCCCATTGTTTAGTCAGATCGATACTATAATACTTTCAATTCAACGCCACACGATCTATTCACGAAAATATAGTGTTGCTAAGTGTTAGAAATAAGCTCGTCACCACATATTTGATTACGGTACAGGATTATCCTGCGCGGGTTCACAGGTTTGAATTCCATGCGAGAGGATTGCTAAACTCGCCGCCGCCAGAGATTGGTTCCAATAACCGCTGTTTGGTTACGGCTTTCTCCACCATTACAGCATTAAGTCCATACTTCCGAATAATCCCACACTACAGCCATACCAGACCTAAACTGGTAACCGGACGAGATGCCGTGTGTCACCACATGATTAAGTCGTCTTGTTGACTTTCCTCTCCTCTACGATAAATATGTAAATCATATCCTCATTAAGTGAATACCTAACCCTACGTCCTGATTCAAATTATCGGTCTTGCAAACTACGGTACCGTTCAGTGACAAATTTCGTACCGGTAGCCTACTGCGATCAACATTTCAAAACAAAAACCTACCGGTATCACATGAATCTTATCATTACGTCGCACCCGTACGGTACCGGTACGTCTGCGTTACCGTACTGTATTCTGCCTGTACCGGTATTTCAAATTTGTGTCCAACAGCAATACAATAGATGTAGACTAGGATAGGTTTAAATTGAACCTGACAATTTTTTTATAATTCGAGAAGCAACTCACTTACCAGGAATGAAAAGGAAAACAACTTCCGTACCGGTACCGTACCCCTTCGATCAACGTGCGTAACGGCGACTCTTGAGTAGCAGGACGAAGCAACTGAGCAAGAGCGGTGCAGTCCACTTCCAGACCTCCTAAATAGATGGTCTGATGTTCTGGACCGATGGGATGGATTTGAATCGCGGCGAACCACTGAAGCGTGAAAAAAGTTGCCTTTTGCGGTCTGATAGACCGGTTCCAGCGGACATATGACCCCTGCCATTACATCTCTGGCACAGGTTCTCCGGGCAATTCCCACGTATGTGACCCTTGGCACCACAGCGATAACATGTAATACCTTCATTCCTACGCACACCCTTGAGAAAATCGGAGTCTATGACCTTCATCAAACATAGCACGGAGCTTGTCAAGCATCTCTTTCATATCATTCCGCAGCTTACTAAATTCAGATTCACTTACACCATCATCACACCCACAATTATTCACAACATCCACCATGGGCTCATTAGCACGATTACAACCAGGTGCACTGTGCGTAGCTTCAATAGAATGACAAACATCAGCCACAGTAATCAATTCATCCAAACTCTGAGTTTGCCTGATTGTCAAAGTCTCAAAATCAGGAAAACCTAAAATGAAACGCCTCTTTAATCAGATTCTCACAAACAATAACATCCAAAGATGGATAAGCCTTCCTTGACAATGCACGGAGAAGTAGCATATTCCGTTGGCGTCTCAGTGGCCAACTTCTTCCTGTTATTAAACAAAGTAGCAAAGTATGATTCCTTACCCTCTGGATAATAACGATATTTCAAGTGATTCACTGCAACACTCAAACTGTGTCTATCGGGAAGGGATAATTCATTCAACAAGGACAAAGCTTTCCCACGCATACATGCAGCAAAATGTCTGACGCAAATCTCTTTCCACATAGTTCACAAAAATATGGCTTCACTCTTCTACAAATTTGTACATGTCTTTTCCAAACTAATTGCTCTCAGATAGCTCTTTCCACATGTTTCGCAAAAATACGGCTTTTCCTTGGCATGAAAAATTTTCCTTTTTTCTTTTTGGAATTCCTGTTTACCTTTTCATATACAGGATGTCAAAAGTTCATCTTACGTGTTTCACAAGAATTTGGCAACTCTACAGTTTGAGTTTGTATATTTTTTTAATACTGCATGCTATCACACAGCTTTCCCCACATTATTGTCAAAACTTTTTACCCGTACGAGTTTATTGGCTTTTCAAATTACATGCTATAGCGAAACTCTTTCCACACGTTTCACAATAACATGGCAGCTCTTCACTCTGGAGTCTATGTATTAGTTTTCAAATTGCATGCAATCACGAAGTTCTTGCCACATCTGTAAATATCAAAGATCTTCTCATGTTCCACTAGAACAGGGGTGGGCAAAATGTTTTAGTATAAGATCCGCATGCAGCAAGTATGAAATATGTGATAGCCGCAATATTATTGAAATTATGAATATTAAAACTTAACTGTTACATTGATACTAATTCGGGAGATGAGCCTTTGTGTAGTGCTAGGCAAAACACACGTTTGGGCTATCGACTGCGACAACATCAGCAATAATTTTTTTTTTTTTACAAAATATAGGCATAGGAGTGGTGTTTATCACGAGCAATATAATACCAAAACTAGCTTCAATTGATGCATCGGATTCATTGCCAAATGATATTGTAAACTTTAGCTGTCTTTTAGTATTAATTTAAACTTTAAAGTCATTTAATCTGTATTTCCTTACAGCCGTTCAACATTGATTGACTTCATTATGACTTAGAAGCCTATGAGAGATTAGTCACAAAGGTTTATCGTATCCTGACAAACAAAGGTTTATCGTATCCTTCTTCCCACTCTGACTTGACAACTTTGTTCTCATCTTCGTATTTTCGTTTCTTACTTGAAGACTTGGCAATCAAGCTACAATGCCACCAACGCGGCAACCTACATTTGACCATCGGGACGTAACATTTGTGACTTGACTGATTTAAAATTTTATTCTATTCTAACAATCTTTATACTAAAACATAATCTGCCTTAATCATTGATGAGAACTTCTTCTGCTGCCTAATAAACTAAAATCACTTTAACATTACAGTTTCTTTTAAGTTAAATTTGAATAATAATAAATGCTAGCAAGAAGAGCCGCATAAAAACTCTGGCGAGCCGCATGCGACTCACTAACCGCAGTTTGCCCACCATTTCACTGGACTATGTCGTTTCCCTTTTATAAATTTGTGTGTGCCTTTTCATAATACACGCTCACGAAAATTTCATTCGACATCAATTTTTACATAGTTCACAAGAATTTGACATTCCTTTCTACTAATTCATGTAAGCCTTTTCAAATTGCACCCAAATCTTTCCCACGTGTTTCATAGCAACAGAGCCTTTTCCCAGTTTGTATATACATTTTCAAGTTTCAAATTTCTTCTCGAATGTGTCACTAGAATATGGCTTTCCCTTTCTATCTCTCTTCTAGTATAATTTTGTTGTTTTCAAAGGACTTGCTCACGACAAGAATATGACTTTCCCTGTCTGTTTCTTATGTAAAGGCTGCCTACCCCTAGCAAAGCATGCGGCCTGCGTTGTTCGAAAATCCTGGAAACTTTATTTCATTAGGTACTTTTGACTTGATGTTTTGAATTTCACAAAAAAGCTCTTGCGACTTTAGCGCACCCTATGCCCAATTAAAAGTTCGAATATAGTATAGATATTAGAGTATACTGCTATTTTAATATTGTATATGAAATATTCACTCGATGGATTTTATGTGAATAAACTTTATTTTTATGTGAATTCTGAACTTGGCTGGTGTTTAGATTAGAAAAAGCGTTCGCAGTTTGCAATAAATTCGCGACATTAAAAAGGCAGGCATCGCTTTTTCCCGGGTTTCATTCCTACAATATTGATAGAGAAAAATATATTTCAAGGTAGTAATATTATTCGCGATCGGACGTCCGTGGTGGCGAAAGATTTCGTAAACTCGATACGAAATGGGGGGTACGAAAAGTGCTTATTTTGTGGAACATAAAAAAGGCGGCTACAATATATGATTGCGAGAGTTGTCCTAAATCTGCATATCTTTATTCCGTTAAATAAACACAAACCAATTTGAATACTTTGTTCATTAATATTTGATTTAAGCACTTCTAAGAAGAAAACACAAGAAAAAAACAATTTGCACAAAATAACATAATTTTAAACACTTCTGATTTATATTCAGTCAGTCAATCGTTTGTTGCAAAAATACACATAAAATTTAATGCTTCGCATCTCGTTTTGTCGTATAGTTACAAATACAAAAGTGAGTTTTTAAACAGCAATAAAATAAAGATACTGAACCCTCATTTATTTAATATCCCTGCTATCTAGTTAATATATTTCTAAGCAGAAAACCCATACAAACACAGAAGAAAAAAAAGCTAAAATTCTTTGCTCAATGCTAATTCAAACTATTTGCATTCGCTAAATATCCAATCATAGTTTTCAATCAGCAATGTAAATAACATAATATTTCCGGACAATGAACTGGTAAGAATGTCGGCATTAAATACATCAAAATATATGAATTAAGTGTAAAAATTCATTGGAAATAGTTCTGGTCAATAAAAGTAGAATATAAACAAAACGTAAAATCATCAAATAAATGGCTTAGTTAAAATGCAAACAAACAAGCATATGCATGGTCAGAAGATAACTAACGTTTTCTTGAGCTACAGATTGCGGGTTTGTATCTTACTTATCTCTCCAGGCTACTAGAGAGTGAAAAAATAGGAAAGCCGTGTTATATTGAGAGTGTTTTTATTGTAAACGGGAAGCTTGTCTAGAGCCCTGTTTATGTAAGGGTTTCCAGTAGTACATTAGAAATGTAGTTCAGTTCTACGCAAAATATTCTAGAAAAAAATTTCTCAAGTTTCAAATAATAATGTTTTGTGATCAAAATATACACAATGAAATATTTCTGTGTCTGAATAAATCAGGAAACAATATAACTGTCATATAAGCATAAAAAGGTCTTCTTCATTTACACTGCAAAAGTTGAATTACTGCCTTAGTTAGAGTTTGAGATCTCAGGTTTAATTATTGGAAAGCTCAACCTACTTTCCATGTTCTCAAATATATTAGGAAAGGTATTGAAAAATCCGATTTTAACATCAAGAAGTTTTGTTCGGAGCGAAAACGGATGCATTTTATGAGTTTATTAAAGGCTTCATAGTCTGTATATGACGGGTATTGATGCAAAGTTTGTTTTCCAAGCTTCAGGCCAGGAATCGAAATTGTGAATTGAAACACAATAATGTTTTTGTGACAATGATGCTTTTCCGTGGTAAAAATATTTTTACATCAGAAAGTTAGGGACGAAAATTATTGGAAATAGAGCAAAGTCTAAACTTGTTGTCGGGAATCGCGGTTGGGGCCATGGTTCGACATTGCAGTAAAAGTTTAAAGCTTTCTGTATTGTTTAATCTTATAAGTATGAATACAAGAATATAGAATCACACCAATAAACAGAAATAATCACAAACTGGATAAAAACTTTGTTTGAATCACCATTATAATAAAATATATTTGAGTTTCCATGTAAAATCAGATAAAAGTAATTTCTTAACAATCCAAAATTATTACAAAAAGAAAACATTGTGTTGAATTAGTTAGTATTCGAACTCAACCCCGGTATCGGCGATCATTGCTTTGAATCTTTTCAACTGATCAGAGCTGAATTCGCAAAATACCATCTTCAATGTTTGAACCTGACATTGATGAACAATTTCACTGATTATAGATAATCCTCCATCTCCGAGTTTGCTGACTTTGTTGAAACTCAGATCCAACCAATTGATCTGAAACGAATTATGAAACTTGTTACTCAGACATAATTCATGGTTTGCAAATGCACGACTAAGGAAGGAAGATAAAATGAATTATTGTGTTGGATCATGTAAGGTTCATATAATAATCAATAATACAAAATCCGTAGAAGATTATTAGTCGTGGATTATAACTGATTGATTTCCATTCTCCGTAGTTAATACATATCAATAGTCAATCAAAAATTACAAAGGACGAACAGACTGAATTCAGGTGTTTATTGCTAGATTTTTTTACACCAACTTCTAATATCGAAGTCCAAATTTGAAAATTTTCCGGGGGAATCAAAAGTTTAATATAGTTCAAGTAACAGAGTCAACTTTCGTGGTCCAAGTCGTATTAAGGCGTTACTATAGGGCACTGCTGTTAATTCAACTATTTAGTCAATCTTTTTATGTTACGGTGTGAACAATTTCCATTATTTTTAGCTTAGGCCTTCAGTATCGATCCGCTTTATTAGTCGACCAAGTTTGGCCAGTTTCAAATTCAACACTCATTGTTTTATTAACAAAATACCTTAATCTTCAGGTTTTGTAATGCTGATTGTCTAATGGTTGTATATAAATTAAATTATCGATAAGAACTCTGGCGCAAGCTAATGCTGTTTGTTCATAAGATGTGAAAAAATAAATTCTACAGTCTATGTTCCTTTGTTGAGAGAAAAAATTAATTCTACAGTCTATGTTCCTTTGTTGAGAGTTTAACGGGGTCCGAAACTATATGCTTATCACATCGGAGTGATGGTTTTTAAAACAAACCGAACTGAATGAACGATATGACCCCGAATATTTTTTTACCTTCGACATAGCTCAATAAATTTTAATTTTTGTCAATAGATATAAATTACACATTATCATAGTTATATATGGCCCATTACATTAATCCTTGAATAAATAATGTTTATTTCAAAATATTTCTACCTTTGCATCCCGAACATTTTCCTTGAATGCTTTCATTGCTTCCGCTGTGAGATTGCATTTCCCCATTCTAACTATCTCCACTTCACATTGTGACACAATAATACCTGTGACTGACACCCCGTCAACCCCAAGATTTGCATTGCTGCCGACATTGAGTTCCTTCAACTGAATGAATAATAACAGTGACGATCATAACAGGCATGAGATATATCCATGAGCAATACTCAAGCTATAGAAATAGGAAAATACCCTGAATCATTATTGAGTTCAGTAAACGCAGTGGTACAGTGGTTAACTCTATAGTATTACCTAACTGTATTCGAATCATAGGTCCCGGGTTCAAACCTATCACATGTCAGATCATCCAGGTAGTGAGAGGTTTCACAGGCTCTACACAAACCCGGAACTGATAGTTTTTCACATACTAGGGGGAAATTTAATTGAGTGCGATACGCTTGGCCCATAGATAAGAATCATTGATACCAAACCGATATACGTGGATAGTTTCATCGTGTCTATGTTTTAAGTCCAATCAACCATGGGATGCCAGTCTTTTTTAGGTAAATTTTTGCAAGTATAAACTAATCATTTTTAACACTACATTACTCAATATTTTTATACAACGTGTTACAACCCCCACTCCTAACAAGGCCCTGTAAAAGCAGCTACTGTTATGCAAGGTATTACTATATTTAGGAAGGACCGAAATCTATCTGGTTCGGCATTGCTTATTATTTGAAATGAATAAAAAGTAACAAAGACTTTTTTTCCTTCTTATAGGCTGTTTGTTTTGAGCCTTGTGTTCGGAGTGATGGTATTAAAACGAACTGAATGAACGATATGACACCGAATAAACTCTTATACCTCATTAATAACTCAATGTACTTTGATTTTTGTTACTCAATATAAATTACATAATAACCTAGTCACACTAGATCAGTTTCATATCGCCCTAGCTTGGTCCATTACACTAATTTTTATTCAATGTTTTATTTTAAAATATTCTACCTTCGCATCCCGAACATTTTCCTTGAATGCTTCCATTGCTTCCGCTGTCAGATTGCATTCCTGCATTCCAATCTTCTCCACTTCACATTGTGACACAATAATACCTGTGATTGCAACCCCGTCAACACCAAGATTTTCATTGCCGCTGACATAGAAATCCTTCAACTGAATGAATAACAAGGACGATTATAATAGGCTGGAGATATATCCATGTGCCATACTTAGATCATAGCAGTTGGGAAATACTCTGAATGATCAGTGACCGTAGTGGTGTAGTGATTTCTTCGTTAGTATTAATACTAACTCTCGGGAAATACCATGAATAATATTTATTTCTAATTGTTTACCATGTTGCTTCACCATGTTACTTTTATGAAATCTCCATAATTTTTGAAAATTTCCAAAAATATATTTTACCTTGTGAAGAATTGTAAACAATAACCTTAGTTCAGACATATTGCTAGAATTACAAGACGATATTGAAGGTGATGGAAACATATTTCATTGATATTATAAAGTGGTTAAAATAATGCTCAAAATTGTAATGCTGAACATGGTACAATCTGCACGAGCATTCAATTGTTGCCATCAATTGATGTGGCATATAGAGCGGAACGTTATCTATTTTAACAAGCAGTTTAGTCTGAATTTGCCGAAATTCAGGCATTTTATTAATGACGAGAAACTCAAAATGTAAATAGTGACTTGCAACTTGCAACGACTTGCAATTGTTTTGGTTTTAAAGTGATTGAAAGTAACGAAGACTTTTTTCTTTCATATTGGTTGGCCTTGTTCGAAGTGATGGAGTATTAAAACTATACGAACTGAATGAACGATATGACCGCGAATAATTTCTTATACCCTAATAATAACTCAATGCAGTTTGATTTTTGTTACTCAATATAAAATTACATATTAGCACAGTCACGCTAGATCCAATACCATCAGTTACATATGGCCCTAGCTTGACCCGTTACACTAATCTTTGAATAATCAATGTTTTGTTTTAAAATATTTGTACCTTTGCATCCCGAACACTTTCTTTGAATGCTTTCATTTCTTCCGCTGTCAGATTGCAATCCCTCATTCCAACCTTCTCTACTTCACATTGTGACACAATAATACCTGTGACTGACAACCCGTCAACCCCAAGATTTTCATTGTGGCCGACATCGAGCTTTTTCAACTGAATGAATAATGACACTAATGATTATAATAGGCATGAGATATATTCATGTGCCATACTTAGGCCATATTAGTAGGGAAATACCGTATATTTTCTTTGAGTTCAGTAAGCGCAGTGGTGTAGTGGTTAACTCGGTTGTATTAACTGTGTTGGAACCATATGTCCCAGGTTCAACCCCTTACGTGGCACGTCATCCAGAGAGTGAGATGATTCGCAGTCTCAAAACAAACCTGGAATTATTAGTTTCTCACATGCTGGAGATTACTTGCTTAACAACTTGTTCGGTGCCAATGTGCGAGACACTCGTGAAATATAAGTGAGTACGATGTGTTGGCCCATGGATGAGAATCATTGATATTAAAGCGGAATACGTTGATAGTTACATCATTTCTATGTATGGTGTTCAATTAACCACGAAATGCCAGTTACCTTTAGTGTTATTTTTCGTTAGTATAAAAGAGGCATCATAACATTGTATTACTCAATATTTTTATACGGTGTATCACAACCCCCACTTCTAACAAGGCTCTGTACAAGCAGATACTGTTATGCAAGGTATTACTATATTTAGGAAGGACCGAAATCTTTCTGGTTCGGCATTGCTTACCAAGTTATTACACCCGGGTGAGACGGCAAGCTTACGACATTGGACTGGGATAGTTCAGTTGCACATTTTAGACACTGGGCCAGTACATCAATCCAAAATATGATTAGTTAGGAATTTTAAAGAGTCAGCAAATTAGGCACAATGACGTTGCAGGTTGAAGATTCTGGTTTCAGACCCCAAACTGATATTTGACTAATTCTTTTAATGCATCTTAAATCAACTGGATCACAACTTTCGTTCTCGTTTTATATTTTTACAAAGTTATTCACTTACTTTACCATTCCCAACATGTTTCAGGAAATTACGAAGATGAATCTCTCTCAAGTCAGTATCGATCAGCCCCAGACATTCAACATTATACTTGGAACAAACGACCCCAGTTTCAATGCTAAGTTGTTCTGACATCTTAATACTCGACAGATCTACCTCCTTGACAAACACCTGGATAAAGATAGATCAAGTGTAATCAGCATTCACTGTGATAACCTAGATGAAATTAGGTTGAAAAGTTCGAAACGGTTGAATCAGACACTTTGTATATTTAATTGGTGATGTGAGTCACAGGATATCGGCTTGTAAAATTCAAACAAAATAAACGAAAATGTTTCAAATATTTTACTGTACACGGACCTACCTCACCGCAACATACAGATATACAGATTTGAGAGACAGTGATTGTACATTGATGTTTGCGGTCGGTGCAGGTTAAATATCCCGGGTTCAAACCCCATGCTATTCACTTCATTCATAGGTGATAAATTGCGTAGTAAATGCTGGGTCGGAAACCCTGTGGACATCTCCGCAACATCAGCAAATATACATATTCGAGAGCTAGTGATTTTACATTGATAATATTTGCGGTGCAGGTTGGATATCTCATGTTCAAACCCCATGCTAGTCACCTCATTCTTGTATGATAAATTGTTTAGTCAATGATGAAGTCATTTCATCTCCCTCTTTATACAAGCAAGAACTGGTAGGTTTTGCTAAACAAGTCAAATTTGTTTCAATTCTGCAGATGCTGTAAAGTATCTAGTAACTTCAACTCACTTTCTTAGAAATAACGCTTCTACTGATGATTCCAAATTCATTCTCTTCTACGCACATCTCCAACACGATTTCATCAACATAAGATTCCGTGAATTTTGTAACAGAAGCGAATAATTCAGCATTGAATCTGTTGCTCAAGATAAATTTCTTGACCTATGTATACATAATAGCAATATTCAATCCAGTGATACTGAACAAAATTTATAAAATGACTCCTCGCTACGGGTTGAAAAATCGATATCAGTTTAATATTTTCTATTTTTGAAGGTTTTGCAGTTTCAAATAAAATTATTTTCATACTTCAAAAATTGTGACAACAGGAAATTCAAATGAAACCCAGACGCCAATACCAGCAAACATTGCAGCTCTGCAAATCACAAACTGAAATAATTATCGAGCTGATATAAAAATGCATCGCTGCCATGTGATGGTTTCAAAACGAATCCAACTTATTGGCATCAGTCCCATATATGTAATTGTGTGCCAACCAGTGGTGAGTTGTCTTAGCGTCAGTATTAATTATATTATATTAATTGATGAAGTGTCTGCATAAAACTCTTTATGAAAATAGAATGAAGGCGTGAACAATCAGAACAAACAAGCGGCGACGGGGGTTCGAGTTCAGATAAACATATTCCATTGCTATGCAACAATATACGATCAAAAGTAAATGAAACAAATGAAAAGCGTAAACTGCAAAAGTATAAGGGTATGTGTGAGCCAAACAAAGTAATTTTGCGTTAATCTGTTGACTGCCATTGATAATTGCAACAATAGAGAATAACGCAGTGTTGATAAATCATCGCGAAGTTTGAAATAAACAAACCTTTAGCTGGGAATTCTTCAGATTTGACATCATGATATCAAATATCTCTGTGGTGAGATTGCAATAGGAAAAACGCAGAAGATTTAGATTTCCACTTCGACGCATAACTGACGATATTGCCAGCATTCCACTGGGGTTGATTGTTGCTTCCTTGAAATCAATATCATGAACGTGGGATCGAATCAATTCAGCGTCATTCGACTCGTACAAAGCTCCGAACAATTCCATCAAAGCGGTTGAATCGTTTGTTTCCTTCAGTTGTTCATTCATGCTATGTCTCAGTATTTCTTCTTTTGCCTTCTTGTCTTTAACTATAAAACAAGCATTGAGCATAACCTGCCATCCCTTCGCTGACACAATACAACCATAAGTTTTGAATTGAGATTTATTGAAAAACATTAATGTTGATTACGAATGCACTGTCAATAATTCAAAGAAATGATATACATTAAAACGAATATAAATTAATAATCAGAAGTTTTTCTTCTTGGCGTTGTACAAAAATAGGGAATTTCAAATACCATTATTTAATAGTTCCAATATGTTTGAAATGCATCTTCTAATCGTACAAATCTGGATTTCGCGAAACTACTAGACCTAACGCAATACACGATCTTTATAAAGCAAATCGGCGTTTATGCTACTCAAACAGCCTTATCTCTCAGGTTCGGCATTTTGTAATTCAATTACAATTATGTTGCAAGACTTTTCTATTTCGACAACTAGGCGGCCAATAGAAACAAAAAAAAACCTAAACTAAACTTTCGAAGTTTGCGCCACTTTTTTGAGGGTGAGTATGACAAATGTTAAAACAAGCGTATTGACGAATTTGTGGTATATTATGTAAAAGTTCGTCTTGCGTACAGCCTCCTTACTTCAATTTGGGATGTTAGTTTTATAGGAAACCAAATTCAGCTTTGTACTACTAAAGGTTAAATGCAGCGATATCTTACTTTGAAGCATTTGTGGAGCCCAATCAATTGCCAAATCTGGGTTGAGAAGAATTCCACACAAGAATTTGCGAACAATCGACCAATGATCTTGATGAATGAACCCTTTCACGAATTCTTCGAAATCTTCAACTCTAATTTCTGACACGAACATGGCGGCAAGGTTTTCTTCAATTACTTGGTGTGAGAAATATATTTGTTGGGTTCCTTCAAGCAGGCAATGACTCGCCCTTGTGCGGCCTGGAACTTTGATATCCAGGTCTTGAATCGAATCCGGATCTAATCCAAACTTCAGTAATTCATCTTTTGTAAAGACGACTCGTCCTTCGCTAATTGCTCGAAAAGCCATTTCTTTCAACTTGTGCAGAACCTGCTTATCTCTGACATGCTGAGATTGCAGAAGAATATCAAGGATCTCAAACATAACTCCTGTCATGGTATCAGGTGGATTTTCCGGATTAAACTTCTGAACGATGGCGTTGTATATTAAAAATACTGGGACTGAAGACAGAGGGATAATTGCAGGAGAGGTTGAACACAACCGATCCCATTGATGTTGGCCGATTTCACCAAGGAGTGCAATGAATAATCTCTTGACATCATCTGGGCTCAAACCTACTAACGCGTAGATAAGCTGGGGTCGAAGGTCCACAGTGAGAGAAGCTATGCAATGCTCGCGAGAGGAGATGACAATTTGAACTCTGGGAAAAAGATGACTAGTGATAACGTTGTACATCACCGTTGCTGTACTGGCCTTATCCTTGTGATTTATCTTGCGATGATGTCCGCCAAGAGACCAAGTCGCCTGATCTAATCCATCAAAGAAAAATACGACCTTTTCCTGGTTTTCAATGATCCATTCATATCCATATTTTATGCTTTCCTCACTTGAATCAGTGATGACGTTTCCAAAAAGTAAATCTTTTGCATTAATTGACTCCGAATCAAGAAGATCTCGAATGTAGACAAAGTAAATGATTTCGTAGCGCCTTTCTGTTTGGTCGGGAGAAAAACGATCATCACATAGATTATTGTTTCTGCAACATCACGAACCATCCGTTCTACAAAGGTCGTTTTACCACTTCCTGCTTGCCCAACGATTGCTATGTGACGATTCTTTTTTGAGTTGAAGCTTTGCAATATCTGTTTCAAATCCACCAAGTTTCCTTCACTGCCAAACTCTTTTGAAACACTGAATCCAACTTCCTTTTGGTATTTTTTTTTCTTCGGTGCCATCTCACCACTGAAGAAATGAGATAGTTCTCGAACGCGAGGATTTGCTTCAAACTCTGGTTCGACCAGCCTTTGGTCTCTGTACAAGTCGGTAACAGAACCCTTTGCTTTGCGGTATGCATCACGATTGACATCTCTTTTAAATGCTGCCACATATTTTTCTGCAATTTTTTAAAAATTAGTTTACACTATTTGATCCTGCACTAAAGTTTCATATTTTTCCTAAGCTGTCTGTTTCATTATTCCAGAAAACAAAAAAAAAGTCAGGGATGGCCAACCTGTTTTCGACCGCGATAAACTAAAGTATTCAAAATAGATTGCGATTGACTGATCGGTAATAAGGTCATACACAAAAATGAATGTGTACTAAATATGCAGATAATACACACACCCATACAAAAATAATCGCAGTTGCTGATAAGCTTATATTTTTTACGTTTTATTTAATTTGTTAATTTGACTATATATATTTCCTCAAAAAACCTTGCCAAGTATATATGTGTTATCTAAACAACAAATAATAAATATTCTCAAACCATAACTGTTACATGACCGATTCGTTTTTTGCTTGGAAAAAATCGGAAATTAGAAAAGATTGCATTCTGATGTGACCATTGCAAATACACTTTGCGGGAGACCATAACTTTCGCATAATGCAGAAGTCAAGATACATGATATTCTGTACGTTACAAAACTCTCAGCCACAAAAAAACGCGCAGCCGTTTCTCAATATTTCTGATCAATCATATTGACGTTTCTACATCGCTTTCCAGACCTATAAGCGCAACAAATCCCGATAGACGTACGAGATCCAAGTCTATTCATTCAGACTGACAGAGTTGACCGCAATTAGCTAAAGGATGGTTAGTTTAAATGTCAACTGATGTATTTTCAACTCCAAGTATTTCTCAACGCCTAGGATTTGATATTTTGGAAGGAACTTCTCGAATAAACATGACAATATCCCGCGTCTGTGCATGAAGCTTTTCACTCTGGCATCCGTTAATATCGAATCTTGTAAAAAATAGAAATGTTATTCTCTAACAGAAGATGCTGTCATTAAGAGTTCTACAAACTAGTATTAGTATCAGATTACTGTGTGCTGAAGTATAATACATGAATAACGGAAGCTATACAAACAAGATGAAAATATTATTAGCGTTCGGAATAAAGCAATATTTTTTATTTCCAATTCAAATTACAGGGAAGCATGGTACGATTGCATACAGTTTCAATACAAATAAAACTATTTTTGCATTTTGTCTGTAGTTTGTTGTAATGGCCGTTGATTTACAAGTGCATTACTGACATATATACCCGTGGGTTTATGTCCACTAAGTGTTGCAAGAGACCGTTTGACTTTGGGTTAGAACCATGTGTTCCTACTTGCGTTTTTTTATACTTTGTCACGTTGTGCTAATTGCCCGCTCAGCAGTTCTCAGTTAGTTCTGGCTCGCCTAACAGAGACTTATATTTGTAATTTGTTTGTGTTTGGGTATAGCAATTATTTGTTCTTTCACTGCTTAGAAATCTGTTGCTTTGTTTATACCCGAGTGACACTAAAATTAATTATCGGCTTTTTTGTACCACACCAACTGTTTGGCGAGTGTTGTTGCTTTCGACCTGATTTTGCAATCCTTGAGCGACTGTTACAAATTTTTCAAGTCACAATGCATTTAAGTGTATACAGTCAAGTAGACTGTTGTTTATGGAGATTTGAAGAACACAGGCTGTAATATTCATTCCTGATAGTGCCATCCCGTCAAAGCATAATAGGTAAAAACGTTTAGTTTTAGTATCAACATCTGTGGCACACTGTAATCCGAATGGACACTGTTTTAGAGTTGGCATTTGGCACCACTGCATTTGCTCTTTTCCTATTCGGTCGAAGACGATCTCCGCGCAGCTGATTTATTAATGATATTTCAAACACGTAACATTCATTGTCAAAATGAAAAATATTCGAGGCCTAATAATAATAAGACTATCATGGCTTGATTTAAAAAAGGTTGTCTAAAGAAGGCAAATTGAATTTCAGTGATTGCTGCTGGTCGAATACGGCTTCCTACACCATCAAGTCCATGATTTGGAAAACAAATAACTGGCTAACTAATCCATAGCTGACATGAAATGGGGACCGGACGAGAGGCCGTGGTTTGTCATATGATTGAGCCGTCTTATCGCCTTTCTGGGATAAATACGTAAATCATATCCTATCCTGAAAAGCAGCATTTTGCTTCCAAAATGACAAGATTTGGTTGGAATGTAGACTGACTTCAGCATGCAGATCCTACAAGGCTAATATATGTCAATGCATTTGCTTTCTGTTGGTAGAGTTTAACTAATAATAATAGGAAATAATAACTCTCACCCTTAGCCGTTGGTGAGACGCCCACAAGTGCCGGTATATTTTCATACGTCATCGGGTGCTTGTTTGCTCCCGTTCCCACTGTGTAAACAATGAACTTTGAGTTTTGACCAAAAACGTTTGCAAAATGTACGAAACCTGATGCACGTTAATGGTGATAGATCGCCAATAAACGGCGGGAAAACATGACTCCTAACAGTTGTTGTTTCCTCATGTTAGTAAGAGCCGTCATCAAATTCTCTCGGAGTTCAAGGGCTCAATTCAGTGGAACTCAAGAACCGTTTTTGAGCAAAGCGATGTATTTCTTGGTTGACGATCCAAGTCGCTCCTAAAATCATGGAAATTGTCCACCGCTGTTGTCAACTACATGTTACGGTTTGAAATATCAAATAGCTTGGTGTTATATTGATAACTTGGTGATGATTTTTTGAAAATCAAGTCTATTTACAGTAAGCAAACAATTCAAATATTCTAACATACCGTAAGTGGCAGGCATCAAATACACTGTTTTAATCTGAATATTCGTTGCTTTTATTTCCCCAACAGTAGCATCAGTTATTTTGGTTTCTAAAAAACAGTTTTATTTTCAATGTTTTTGCTGAATCTTACAAATAATTTAGTAAGTATGTTTTCACACTGTGTATCTATTTCATACACGAGGGTCTGCGTATTGATAAGTGTTATATCATATTTTTGGCAACTGAGAATATATCGCTAGATAACTGAGCACCTTTGTGTGATATCATCAGTCATGGTCAGACAAGCCATGACCTGACAGCTGCGAACAACATGTGGGATATGTTCGCAGTGAGTTTGGCTCGAAGTAGAGAAAATAGTTCCAATGGTTTGGTCTGAATTACATACTATGTTAAATTGAAAATGAAATTACATACGTAACATATTAGCACGCCATAGCTTGTTCATGCAAATATGCTAAGCAACCATAAACAAATTTTCGCTGAATCTTCATGGATCGTTATATATCAATAAACATTAGTTCGACCTTTAAGTTCAAAATATTTGGAATGCTTTCAAACAATCATACCAGTTATGTTGGTCTGTTGCAAAGTCTCTGCAGAGATGTGAGCTTCGTTTGCAGACAGATTTGCCTCTACTGTTTGAACAGTTGCCTTTTGCGACGTTATTTCTGTATGTTCAGAGATCACCGAAACATCTTTCGCACTTTCTATGCTCATATCTTGAACAGCAGCCCCGGTAATGCTGGTTTCTGGAAATAAAATAAAAAAACAGATTGCTTTAATAAAAGTTATAAAATCAGTTTTTGCAATCCGACCTTTTTCAATTTTTTTATGGTTCTATTACTTTGGGTATGTATAATGCGTGTCCAAGCATGCTGGAGAAATAAACTACTAATTACTGAATAAGGCTCGGTTGAAACGTTCATTTCAACCAAACCATGACTCCGAAACTACAGCTTTGATTGTTGCTCTAATTTATAACTCGTACATTTTATATGTAAAATTCAAAAAATTCAGGGAATAAAAATCTATTTGCGACTAATTGTTGTTAGACAAGAAACCTCATACGGGATAAGATTACTTTGGTTAATTTTCCAGAAATAGAAGAAGTTCTGAGTCACTTGAGAAAACTAGTTTAAACATGAGTGTACAATATTTTAGACCAGTGTTTCCTAACCGAGGAGTTTCTTTCCAAATAGGAGAAACCAAATTTCGCGCAATTTCACCAATATTGTTTTATTCCTATAACAATCATACCAGTTATGTTGGTTTGTTGCAAAGTCTTTGCAGAAATATGAGCTTCTGCTGCAGAAATATGAGCTTCTGCTGCAGAAACAGTTGCCTCTACTGTTTGGACAGTTGCCTTTTGCGACGCTATTTCTGTATGTTCCGAAATCACCGAAACATCTTTCGCGTTTTCTATGCTCATATCTTGAACAGCAGCCCCGGTAATGCTGGTTTCTGGAATGAATAGAACAGATTTATTTAATAAAAGTTACAAAATCACTTTTTACAATCCAACGTGTTTCAATTTTTTTTCATGGTGCTATTACTTTGTGTGTGTCCACTGCGTAGCCAAGCATGCTGGAGAAATAAAATACTGATTACTAAGGCTTGATAGAAACGTCCATTCCAACCAAACCATGAATCTGAAACCACAGCCCTCATCGTTGCTATAATCTATTTATAGTACATTTCATATTTAAAACCCAAGTAAATCAACGAATTAAAATTTATTTGCCAACTAATCAATAATTAGATAGAAAACTTCTACGGGATAAGATCACTTTGATTCATTTTTCAGAAATAGAAGAAGTTCTGAGTCACTCAATAAATCTAGTTTAAACATGAGTGTACAATATTTTAGACCAGTGTTTCCTAAACGAGGAGTTTCTTCGCGAATAGGAGAAACCAAAATTTAGTGCAATTTTACCAATATTGTTTTATTTCTATGGTTATTGCAATACATACAAATTTATTCATCAAATTCCAACTATTCAAACCTCGCGATATTCAAAGTGCGAGCTGCATTACCTAAATATTCGTTAAAAATTTATCAAATGTGGGAGTTTCCATGAATAGGAAGAGGAAATAGACAAGTGAAGGAATAGATCAAAAAAGTTGGCAAATCACTGGTTTAGAACCCTTTTTTGTTGAAGATGTAGAAAACTTTTAAACAATCATACCAGTTATGTTGGTTTGTTGCAAAGTCTCTGCAGAAATATGAGCTTCTGCTGCAGAGAGAGTTGCCTCCACTGTTTGGACAGTTGCCTTTTGCGACGCTATTTCTGTATGTTCAGAGATCACCGAAACATCTTTCGCACTTTCTATGCTCATATCTTGAACAGCAGCACCGGCGATGCTGGTTTCTGGAAATGAAACGAATAGATTTCTTTAAATGGCTTAGAACCATGATCTCGAATCCACAACCAAAGCCCTGATCTTTGCTATTAACTAATGGCTAATGCCATTTATTTTCTGTATTTCTATTGAATTTAAACTTACCTACTAATAAACGATCAGAAAGCTTCTATGGGATCGGATTACTCTAGTTCAGGATGGTCCAAACTGCGGCCCGCGGGCCGCATGTGGCCCGCAGAACAATTTCAGCGTACACTACTAAACAATTGGCAGATATTTGTATTTATTAGCAAAACAATTTTGATTTATTTTCAAACTATTCCCACTGGGAATAGTCCTTTTCCTAATGTTGTTTGTTAATATCACGAAAATTCATTGTTGTACATATGAACGTCAAGACGGTGCCTATATGGGAATGACGTCCTATGATAGGTAAACGGAGCATGAATTGTCTTGTGTAGACAAGACTAAGCCGATGAGATGAGCTCGCGTCAAGTAACTCCTCGTTTGATGAGGCATTTCGTGCCTTTATTTTTGCCAAAACACTCCTCTATTTTCAAGCGTTGGTCATGTGACGGCATTGACGAACCGCAGAGCTGACAGAGCTCCGTGTGATCCAGCTTGTTTTTTTTATTATCTGGGTCCGAGGTTCCAACTTATACGGACGGTTGTTTTTTGACGGTGGCACTGGGACTGCTCGCGCTACAAGTAATAAATTTTTTTAAATATAACTATTCGTCATACTATGAATGTAGAAAAAATATAAATTGTAGAACAAAGGTGATCGCGATAAACTGAGAGGAGACGCATTTCTTAGACACGACAACGTTAAACCACAGTGTCTGGTGTGTTTTAAAGTAATATCTGTCCCGGAAGAATATAATTTTAAGCGACTTTACAAAATCAAACGCGAAAAAAGATACCGAAAATACCACAATATTTCTCGGGAAGCAATTTTAAAATAACTAAATACCTCCATTTAGTTTCCTTGAAAAACTGATTAAAACGATAAACTCTCATTTTTAAATATATTTAAAGTGAGTAAACTCGCGATGTTTTGATCACTTTTGGGCTTTCTCCGACTGCGGCCCGCGAGACCTCCTCAAAAGTTTTTGCGGGCCTTCAACCTCGCAACCTTGACCACCAGGGGACCACCCTGTTCTAGTTAGTTTTACTAAAAAGGAGAAATTCTGATCTGATCATAAAAACTTCTTAAAATATAAAAGCACGATAGATTAGATCAGTGTTTCTTAACCAAGGCGGACTTTTTTCACAAAGAGGAGTTTTGTTTCAGATAAAAATAAAAAATTGCTGCAATTTTACTAATATCAATTAGTTTTCTAGTATTATTGCAAAATATATTTATACACAATTTTTCAACTATTCGAACCGTGTAAAATCCAAAGTTGCATTAGATGAATATCTGTTAAAAATTTATTGAATGTGGAGTTTTCATGGAAATGAAAGAAGTAATAGGCAAGAGGAAATGTATCAAAAAGGTGGCAAATCACTGGTTTAGAACTTTTTTCTGTAAAATAAGTCGAAAACTTACAAACAATCATACCAGTTATGTTGGTTTGTTGCAAAGTCCCTGCAGAGATATGAGCTTCTGCTGCCGAAACATTTGCCTCTACTGTTTGGACAGTTGCCTTTTGCGACGCTATTTCTGTATGTTCAGAGATCACCGAAACATCTTTCGCACTTTCTATGCTCATATCTTGAACAGCAGCCCCGGTAATGCTGGTTTCTGGAAATAAAATAAAAAAACAGATTGCTTTAATAAAAGTTATAAAATCAGTTTTTGCAATCCGACCTTTTTCAATTTTTTTATGGTTCTATTACTTTGGGTATGTATAATGCGTGTCCAAGCATGCTGGAGAAATAAACTACTAATTACTGAATAAGGCTCGGTTGAAACGTTCATTTCAACCAAACCATGACTCCGAATCTACAGCCTTGATTGTTGCTCTAATTTATAACTCGTACATTTTATATGTAAAATTCAAAAAATTCAGGGAATAAAAATCTATTTGCGACTAATTGTTGTTAGACAAGAAACCTCATACGGGATAAGATTACTTTGGTTAATTTTCCAGAAATAGAAGAAGTTCTGAGTCACTTGAGAAAACTAGTTTAAACATGAGTGTACAATATTTTAGACCAGTGTTTCCTAACCGAGGAGTTTCTTTCCCAATAGGAGAAACCAAATTTCGCGCAATTTCACCAATATTGTTTTATTCCTATAACAATCATACCAGTTATGTTGGTTTGTTGCAAAGTCTTTGCAGAAATATGAGCTTCTGCTGCAGAAATATGAGCTTCTGCTGCAGAAACAGTTGCCTCTACTGTTTGGACAGTTGCCTTTTGCGACGCTATTTCTGTATGTTCCGAAATCACCGAAACATCTTTCGCGTTTTCTATGCTTATATCTTGAACAGCAGCCCCGGTAATGCTGGTTTCTGGAATGAATAGAACAGATTTATTTAATGAAAGTTACAAAATCACTTTTTACAATCCAACGTGTTTCAATTTTTTTTCATGGTGCTATTACTTTGTGTGTGCCCACTGCGTAGCCAAGCATGCTGGAGAAATAAAATACTGATTACTAAGGCTTGATAGAAACGTCCATTCCAACCAAACCATGAATCTGAAACCACAGCCCTCATCGTTGCTATAATCTATTTATAGTACATTTTATATTTGAAACCCAAGTAAATCAACGAATTAAAATTTATTTGCCAACTAATCAATAATTAGATAGAAAACTTCTACGGGATAAGATCACTTTGATTCATTTTTCAGAAATAGAAGAAGTTCTGAGTCACTCAATAAATCTAGTTTAAACATGAGTGTACAATATTTTAGACCAGTGTTTCCTAAACGAGGAGTTTCTTCGCAAATAGGAGAAACCAAAATTTAGTGCAATTTTACCAATATTGTTTTATTTCTATGGTTATTGCAATACATACATATTTATTCATCAAATTCCAACTATTCAAACCTCGCGATATTCAAAGTGCGAGCTGCATTACCTAAATATTCGTTAAAAATTTATCAAATGTGGGAGTTTTCATGAATAGGAAGAGGGAATAGACAAGTGAAGGAATAGATCAAAAAAGTTGGCAAATCACTGGTTTAGAACCCTTTTTTGTTGAAGATGTAGAAAACTTTTAAACAATCATACCAGTTATGTTGGTTTGTTGCAAAGTCTCTGCAGAAATATGAGCTTCTGCTGCAGAGAGAGTTGCCTCCACTGTTTGGACAGTTGCCTTTTGCGACGCTATTTCTGTATGTTCAGAGATCACCGAAACATCTTTCGCACTTTCTATGCTCATATCTTGAACAGCAGCACCGGCGATGCTGGTTTCTGGAAATGAAACGAATAGATTTCTTTAAATGGCTTAGAACCATGATCTCGAATCCACAACCAAAGCCCTGATCTTTGCTATTAACTAATGGCTAATGCCATTTATTTTCTGTATTTCTATTGAATTTAAACTTACCTACTAATAAACGATCAGAAAGCTTCTATGGGATCGGATTACTCTAGTTCAGGATGGTCCAAACTGCGGCCCGCGGGCCGCATGTGGCCCGCAGAACAATTTCAGCGTACACTACTAAACAATTGGCAGATATTTGTATTTATTAGCAAAACAATTTTGATTTATTTTCAAACTATTCCCACTGGGAATAGTCCTTTTCCTAATCCCGATGTTGGGATTGTTGTTTGTTAATATCACGAAATTTCATTGTTGTACATATAAACGTCAAGACGGTGCCTATATGGGAATGACGTCCTATGATAGGTAAACGGAGCATGAATTGTCTTGTGTAGACAAGACTAAGCCGATGAGATGAGCTCGCGTCAAGTAACTCCTCGTTTGATGAGGCATTTCGTGCCTTTATTTTTGCCAAAACACTCCTCTATTTTCAAGCGTTGGTCATGTGACGGCATTGACGAACCGCAGAGCTGACAGAGCTCCGTGTGATCCAGCTTGTTTTTTTTATTATCTGGGTCCGAGGTTCCAACTTATACGGACGGTTGTTTTTTGACGGTGGCACTGGGACTGCTCGCGCTACAAGTAATAAATTTTTTTAAATATAACTATTCGTCATACTATGAATGTAGAAAAAATATAAATTGTAGAACAAAGGTGATCGCGATAAACTGAGAGGAGACGCATTTTCTTAGACACGACAACGTTAAACCACAGTGTCTGGTGTGTTTTAAAGTAATATCTGTCCCGGAAGAATATAATTTTAAGCGACTTTACAAAATCAAACGCGAAAAAAGATACCGAAAATACCACAATATTTCTCGGGAAGCAATTTTAAAATAACTAAATACCTCCATTTAGTTTCCTTGAAAAACTGATTAAAACGATAAACTCTCATCTTTAAATATATTTAAAGTGAGTAAACTCGCGATGTTTTGATCACTTTTGGGCTTTCTCCGACTGCGGCCCGCGAGACCTCCTCAAAAGTTTTTGCGGGCCTTCAACCTCGCAACCTTGACCACCAGGGGACCACCCTGTTCTAGTTAGTTTTACTAAAAAGGAGAAGTTCTGATCTGATCATAAAAACTTCTTAAAATATAAAAGCACGATAGATTAGATCAGTGTTTCTTAACCAAGGCGGACTTTTTTCACAAAGAGGAGTTTTGTTTCAGATAAAAATAAAAAATTGCTGAATTTTACTAATATCAATTAGTTTTCTAGTATTATTGCAAAATATATTTATACACAATTTTTCAACTATTCGAACCGTGTAAAATCCAAAGTTGCATTAGATGAATATCTGTTAAAAATTTATTGAATGTGGAGTTTTCATGGAAATGAAAGAAGTAATAGGCAAGAGGAAATGTATCAAAAAGGTGGCAAATCACTGGTTTAGAACTTTTTTCTGTAAAATAAGTCGAAAACTTACAAACAATCATACCAGTTATGTTGGTTTGTTGCAAAGTCCCTGCAGAGATATGAGCTTCTGCTGCCGAAACATTTGCCTCCACTGTTTGGACAGTTGCCTTTTGCGACGCTATTTCTGTATGTTCAGAGATCACCGAAACATCTTTCGCCCTTTCTATGCTCATATCTTGAACAGCAGCCCCGGTAATGCTGGTTTCTGGAAATGAAATAAATGACCTTTTCAATTATAATAGTGATCGTATTTGACAGCCATAAAATTAACTAAAGCAACACTAAGGTATTCCTGATTAGTTGCAGAGCCCATTTCGAATCTAATTTGTGAATGAACAGTAGCATAGATTGGCTCCAACGAATGCAATATTATTGATGCAAATAAGCGGTAGAAATATACTTGGCAGTCACCGAGGGTGAGTGAATGCGTCATGAGTTTGAAATAAAAGAAAGTCAATTTAATGCATATAACTCTTCTATAACATAACATTTCTTTCAACAAACATCGCCAGAACTCAAATTTTAAAATCTTCACACAAGAATGTGACTTGTTGGCCACATTGAAAGTAAGTTTGACAAGAGGTATAAAAATATTTTACCATCAATGTTGGTTTGTTGAAGTACAGTTGCAGTGATAATTGTCTCCCCTGCTCTAGTGTTTGCTTGCTCAGTGGAAACGGAAACTTCTTGAGCTTTCACACTTGTCTCGTTGCTCGCTGTAATATAATACCATATAACAGTCACATATACCAAATAAATTGGATTAAGTAATAATTAGAAGCACTTTCTTGTGCCCTAAAAACCGTAAACTTATTTTTTTTTAAATTAATCAACATCTGATGCCATTGCCTACTGATTTAATATTGCATATACTTATCAGTTTGCTTGCTTATCAGCTATACATTGTTCGGTGTAAACTAAAACCTACATCATTAGTACTTTGTAATTTTACATAATTCTGATTTCATCATTTCAATCAGAATTTGCGGAATTTGGGAAAATTTCAAATACAGTTTTGCCTGCTATTTCTCTTTAAAACAGCGATTTCCAATGGGCGAAAATGAACCAAATTGAAATATCATCGAGTGAAATTTTTTTTGCCTTTCATATTTCAAACTTGAGTGCCCTGACCGCACTTCTAGATGTCAAGAGAAACAACGGCAATTCGGCGTTGCCAGAAACACTGGGTTTGAACAATATTCCAAAAATAATTATCTTACCGATGTGGCATTGTTCCGCAGTAATGACGACATCTCTAGCTGGTACATTCGCTTGTTCTGCTATCACAGATGCTTCGTCTACATATGCGATTTCTGAACGTTCTGCTGTCACGGAGACTTCTTCAGCGTTGTTCACGCTCAAGTCTTGCAGAACGGAATCGGTTATGTGTGTCCCTGACACCGACATAGCTGGCCCGATCTCCTGCTCCATTTTCAAATCTATAAAACATCAGATTCGGAGTTGCTAGATAGATTATACAAAAGAAAAAGAAATATGTAGAATAATTCGCTGGGGATATTAATAGACTATAGCCATAAAACTGGTAAGAAGGGCTTGGAAAGAAACTTTTTCCAGAAAATGGAAATCAACGCAAAACCGGTCAGGACAAGAATATGATATGGTTTTATATGGATTTCTATATTCTATCCAGCTTTCTATATTTGTCTGTAGAAAGAAAAGATGATATGACGATTCAAGCATAAAATAGGATTCCAATATTTTCACAGGGAGAAGATAGTGATAATAAAGATTAATTATATGGCACCACGTACCAAAATTAATCTGTGTTATCGACTTTGTTCTCTTCGGGATAGATATTGAACTTCCTATTCTAAAATTTTCAGGAATATTTTACAAAAGTAATGCCCATTGACTAAACAAGTTCATAATGTAGTAAACTCACCATCAATTGCGATGAAATGAAACTTCAACACTTCAAGTGTTTCATATGAATCACTTCAGGTTGACTTTTATGTTTATGGTTTAAACTGAGAATGACAAAGTGAAATTTGGCCAGTGTTGGAGTTTTGTAATCTTAAGTTTTATCAAATATCTCATGGTATTCGTGTTGTTAAAAATTTGTAAAATCTGTCCTGGTTTCTCTCAACAAAAAGCATTATTTATAAGAGTTCCACTTCAGTATTATTGTAGAACAATAGCGATATGAAATGTCAATTATTTCTGCCTTCACTATCGATTTTCTCAACATTATAGTGGAATAATCGTTCAACAAAACCCAAATAACATGATATATGGCTTTCTTCAGTTGAAGCTTGAACCGATGAAAAATGGCGAGAATTCAATAACTGAAAATAAATCTGCAAAATCTGTTTAAAACCCCAAAATTCATTTCGGTTCGTTCGGAACAATGCAGTAGTCAAGTGCTTGATAATATTGTGACAACACATACCAAATTCAACCAGGCCTTATAGATTGGTTATAGATCGTTTTGACATATATGCAGTCACAATGACTCTTGAAGTGTCATGACATAACGAAAAACGAGTATATAAAACACAATCCGAAAATAAAACTAAAATTTAAATGTTTTTCGTGTGCGCACTTTTGCAATGCATTTAGACAGTTTTATAGTTTAACATTTTCATGTATAGGATATGCAGAAACATATCTCTAGCAATTATATCGTCTTCCAAATACTGGAATATATTGGATCTCCGCTATAGGAGACCCTTATTATCGATCGTTCTGTTTGTCTGTATGTCTAAGCATTAGCGTCTTAACGGCTGGGCCAATCTACATGAAATTCCGTGCATAGGTTACCCTAGTAATGTGCGTTTTATAGGAAGTACTTAAATCAATCAATCATCCTTTTATTCGTCAGCACAAAATAAACGTATGATAAGAAAAAAACATTTCAAACATAATAGGAAAATAACTTAAGTTGTTTGACAGGAGTCGCGAGAGACCTAATTAAAATACTCTACCTTTCGCACAGAAAAATACTCTTTCGAACAAATCGTTTTTCGTCTCGATACTTTATAAATTGGGAAAGCCTTGGTGATTTTAGTGAACATTATTTTAATTTTTAGCTACAGTTTATCACTAACGCAAGAAAGTCTACAAAACGCGCATCGTTTAAAATGAACTGACAGTTTCGGTTCACTTGATCACGCTGCCGTTATACAATCGCAAGTTTCTGTGGAGGGTAACCGGTTGTTTGAATGTGGGCCTCAACTATTAGCGGAGATCCTGGGCGCCTACCGGCTTGTTTAGAGTATTATTCTGATTCTGCGTAAAAATACTAAGTACAAAACCCTTGAGCAAATATACAGTAATCAGTGGATGATAATTTGTGAATGAACCTCGCTACGCTGCTAATAGAACAATTTCCGCTGTTGGCATCGAGTTTCACAGTATCATAGTAAACACAACAGTAGAGTCAAACGTTAGAGGTAAAGGAGTATCTCTTGTACAACGTTATATTTAATGACGTTTATTTTAACTCAAACTGGAAGGACACACTAATCTGGTTTATATGGCACATTTCCTACGCGGACCAGCTAACTGCTTTTTACACACATTGAAGATTCTGAAAGATTATATAAAATATTACTCGCCTCATTAAACTCTAAAATTTGGTTTAATAATCCGTTGCGGTATTGTCTAATGAGAACTCAGATTTCAGTCAGATACAACGATCTCTGCAAAAGGCATCGAAAACAATCCGCCCAAACATTTGCATCGGGAACACGCTGACAACACTCGAAATTGCAATACAATACTATTACATCAGTCCGATTTACAATTTATTTCATACTCTCGAAAATATACCTCATTCGAAATTCGAATAAATAACACAATCTCCGGTATGAGCGGTTCATTACCAAATCAGCTGCTGAATAAACCCGAATACACGTGTGACGACCCTTGTTTTATCTGTTAAATGATGTCATGTGAAATTATTGGTATATTTTGTATTTTTAAAACTGAGGGCGCTGTGACACTGTCGATCCGCCCTTTGGTATCCTGTTAGCGTAGGATGGGTTTTAAATGATTAAGGTCTATTCTGAATTATAATAAAAAGACATTTAAAACCGTTTTACGTTTTGGGTATTGCCACTTATATTCCAAATATCGTAGCCGCATCGCTTATTTTGCAAAACTTTAAACAAATGGAGCAAATTATTACGAAAGGTATAAGCAAGGGAAAAACTGCCAGTTTCAATCAGTAGAGAGTAGAGAACATATGTAACCTGTGTTTTGGGAGAGACGGAAGTGTTTGATAATACTTCTGATTCTTTCAAAAACTTGCCGCTGAAATAATCCGTCTGTGTTTCAACTGAAACAAACCGAATATTTATTTCATTTTTAAATCATTGACAGATCCTACCAGTTTGAGGATTACGGTTAAGATGTTTGTTGGCTATCTAGAAGTATCCTATTACAGTGGTCCCGACCTATTCTTTAATCGGTCCAAAATTTCCACAACATAAATTCCATGAAATTACGCGTCCCTGGGACATGCTAAAAAACTAAGCGTCAGTACATTTGTAGTCGCATAATAGACTGAATAATATGAAAATCCATTTTTATCTAAAATTCATTTCTTTATTGTTTATTTCAACGTGAGAAAGTTTTCAGAATCGAGGCGCGGCTTTATTTAAGCAAAATAGTTGAGTTAAGTTTTTACTTATAGTTAATTAAGTTTTACGCAGTGATACTTCTTACATGAACAATTACAATCTACACTCCAATACAAATAAAAAATTAAATTTACTATAAAATCAGTAACTTTTAGTTTTTTGTTCAAATATCAAGCGACCCCAAAAAAATTTCCAGGCGACCCAATTTTGGGTAGCGACCCATAGCATAGTGCTCTATAATATTGGGGATCGCGATTCTCAAATTGGATATCAGAAACCTCCAGAATATGGTATTATATCAGGAAAAGTTGTATAAACGCAATTCAAATAAGACAAAACAAGAAGTAAAACAAAAACTCGAGGATACAAAACCAAGTTGTTCGATTTGTAAGATATTAAGTTGAATTCTGATTCGGCACAGACAACGAGAAAATTTTCCAAATATTTAAAAATACCTGATTGAATAGATCACAAAATCGAATATAGGAGGGAGGTAATTCTGTCGTTTAATTAAGAAAAATTTCGAGTTCTCGATTAAAATCCAAAAGTGTGGATAAGAGAAAAGCAATCACTTTCAATCTATAAATTTCCCTGTGCAACTAATATGTCATAAGTTTTAAAAACAAAACTCGAAGTAAACTAAAACGGAGACTTCTAGATTGTGTGAATGACGATATTGTGCGAAGGAAAAAAATCAGACAAACTAATATCATCTGAGCAAATCAACAATTCATCGATGATAGAGCTCGAGACTACAATTCATATTTCAATATGGGTATTAAATGGTAACCAGTCATTCCACTTCAATGCATCGCAAAAATTCTGTTTGGATAAGAGAAAGTCAAGTCTGAATCAACTAAAAATAACTTGAAAACAGGGGTTCCAATGTCGAAACTATATATTTCAGAATCAGAGTTTAATATTTTTTTTAACACTGGCCGGAGTCGGTTAATTATCAGATGATTCTTTTATCGACTTCACGATTCGAAAATACAGAATGAAACAATCAAGAAAATCTTGCTGAGCTGCGCGACAAAAATTGCTTTTAAGGTTTCTCTAATCACATGAAATCCATGAGGTCAGATGTTGAAAATTGTTTGAAACTTCATGTTTTGCAGCTGAGCGTTGGTATTAAATACCCATTGTATATTAGCATTATATTCAACATGACCCAATAATTTACCATACATTATCAAATAATGCTGATTTCCTTGTAAATTCATCCTGATTTATATCAACTAGCATTTTATTATTTAGTAACGGAAATGAATTTTAAAATAGCGAAAAGATTGTTTCTAATCCGGTTTCAGTTTCCTGAAAAACACAACACTTTCTAGATTAGGTAAATTTCATTCAAGAATAAATTCTCATCATTTCACACTATTTAATTTCAGACTCGTTGCCTATCCACATCAGCTATCAATTTACAAATGATATCACAACCTAATACCACATAACGACCTTGTTTTGAGAAACGTTTTCTTCATTCTAACCAGCTCATCACTGTTTATATTTATGTACGTTGTCGCTCAGATAATAACATGTTTGCTCAGAAAGTTTTTTTATGGTAGGACCTAAGTAATTACACAGAGAGGCCCTTGTTATGAAATAGCGTGACTTATGAAGATACAGAAAAACAAACGTAAAGTAATTACTTGTGACAATATTCAGTTCCAAAATTGGTGGTGTTAATGATAATTTCATGGCGCACCACCAATGCAACATACATCACCTTGCATAGAACGATTAAAATTATTTAGAGCAATCGATTTTCATCGAACGATAATGAGTTTTATGAATGTACGCCAAAGCAGCTGATTAATTGACTCGAATAATTTCCGCTATTGGTGTCGTGTTCCACAACATTATAGTAAACAGTTAGATCAAGGTTGTACTCGAAATATAGTTCCCACACAGCTGCCTCGCTACTTATGAGTGCTGCTGAATTATGTCATTGTTTCGCTTGTCTTGAATCTTAGGAAAGCGGCTTGGCTCTGGTATTTACGTGTAGTTTTTAATGGATTTTATAAACAACTAGAACGATGTCCTGGGCACTCATTTGAGCAATCCTGACCAAACTCACAGATTTATTTTAATAAAAAAAATAGCCATGGCGTCATGCCTGCGTCCCCACCAGGAAGTATTTAGGCGTTAGTGAAGCATTGGCCAAGTGTTTGCAGATAGAGGGTAATAATTCTAATGTTTCCAGCATTATAGCATAGGAATACAGCACTTCTCGGTGATAAAAACAGTCGGTACCGTAACCGTAACTAGTCTGTCTGGGATTCCGGCATACTAGACTGATACATCAGACCAGATTTAAATATAAAAATCATATATTGACCCAATTTCTAGTGTAAGTATGAGACGGGAAGTATGAGTGAA